CACCGCTCGGTGTGCGCTGCGGCTGAGCCCCAGGCTTCCTGTCTGCAGAACGCAGGCAGGGCTGTGCTGACCGCACACGTGACTGTGTGTGGGGCTCTGGCAGCACAAGCCCAGGCCACTTTCCTCTTGGTACTCGCTCCCTCTCTGGGCCTGTAGCTCCTTGAAGGCAGCGAGTATGGCTTTTGGTTCGGGGGCCCCAGTAACTTGTGGGGATGTTTGCAGGTACTCCCTGCAGGGCAAATGCACCCGTGTCCCACCAGTGAGTCCCAGCTAGGAGGGGAGATAGCTCCACACCTCTCTCCAAGCCGCTCTGCCTCTCCAAGGGCAGGTGTTGGTCCCACTTTTATTAATGACCAGGCCAAGAGCAGACTGAAAAGGCTGGTTTGGGGCCAGGCCTCACGTTCAGGATTCCCACAGCCAGGACTGCCTGCCCACTCCGTACGTCTCAGGCCCTGCCCAGGCTCACAGCCAAAGCCTAGCCCTGCCTGTGCCCAGGCCTGCCACCCAGGTGTCTTCAGGGCCCACCTTTCTCTGAAAGCTCTTCAGCAAGGCCAGGGAGCCCTCACTTGTCTGCAAAGACCAAGCACCTCCCACCAGCCTCTGGAGCTGTCCTCACCAACCCCGGGGCTCACACCGGCCCCTCGCACCTGCAGAGGGGCCACCCCAGCGCACTTTTACCTGTCCCGGGAGTTAGCGGGAAACTGTCCTCCCCTTTCCTCTCCACTCCCAGGGGCCACCAAAAAGGCCAGTTACTCATTGACAGCGCAGCGGTGCGCACTGCCCGCCCTGTTTTCTGCGTATTGCGGTGGGGTGAGGGGATCGGCCATACAGTAGGCACCCGAGGGGGACCCAGAAGCCGGGGCCGTGTGCAGAGGGGGTCTCCCGCTGGGTGTCAGGAGGCTCGAGGTCTTGGTCAGTCCGCCAAGTGCAGCCTGGAAGGGCTGTCGCTACCTCGGTGAAGCCTCGACCTCTCCAGTCGGCTCCCGGTCGCCCCCCACCCCCGCCGCGGGCGCGGGACAAGGACCCCACCAGTGGCCCGGGGAGGGCGGGGAAGGGGCCGGCCGGTCGCCCGCGGCGGCGGCAGCGAGGAGGGGGCGGGCAGGAGCAGCTCCACCTCCTCTGTCTCCCAATCGCGTTACAGGCGGAGCCGCCAGAGTTTCTCTTCGCGCAGAGCAGTGCGGTCCCAACTCTCAGGACCGCCGCGGCC